TCTTCGACCGTCCGCCGATAGCTGCACTCTCTTTCACCTTTTCGGGCGATGGTGATCCCTGCTGACTCTCGTCCTCCTCCTCAATAGCCTGACAAATGAGTAATGACACGCAGAATATGCTTGTCAACTTGGTATAATCAAAGGAAACCCGAGCTACCTGCCCGAATGTGACTGTTATCGGAGCGAAGCACGCAGGGCATCCGATTCCTCCATTCAGCGGCAACTGAGGAGCCTCGCGCAGAAAATCTCTCACGCACTCACTGACATAATGAAACTGGTCAAGTCGAAACGACCCCGTTCATGATCTACTTATGGAAACTGTGACCACACGTAGCCTTGGCCTGAGCCTCATCCTCGTTCGTGGTACGAGCTGGTATGTCGTCTTGGCACAACACCTGAGCTGGCTTCTGCTCAGCTAGCAACAGGGAAATCCTACGCATATATCAGCCCTATCCCTCCCAGCAGTGCTCTTAGCAGGAATGGAACCACAATCCATGCCATGGACGATGAGGTAGGGATGATCTACTGCCTGTGGAAACACTGAGATGGGAGTAGAGGGTCACGACGCCTACCTGTCGTAGCCTCGTCAAGAGGTCGAAGATATGAGCATAATTATTAAGAACCGTGCCCTCATTAGCATAGACGTCGAAGCGTAGTTGACTCTGCATTGCTAAGCTCTCGTAGAAGTCCTTCTCGCTGTCCGTGAGCTCCGTTCGTCTGATGCTCACAGTCATCGAAGGCAGGTGTAGGTCATCAGCACGCTCCTCTTTGGTACGTCGCAATAGCAGACGATCCAGAACCCGATCGCGCAGCTCTTTCAAAGCGTCCTTGCCAACTCCCGAGAACCCATGCCTGAAGGAAATGACATCAATGCTGCTGACAGACTAGAGAAGAATCGAGTCCAATCGATATCCGACCGAATCTAGCTGCTCACTTCAGAATAGGCTTGCTGATAGTTTGGTTGAAGTAGGAGTAGTGTTGCATCTTAGTATGACCGCACCGTTTACAGTATCGGTTGTCCTCGAAACGGTAAGCCATGGACTTACAGTCACAGTTCTTGGTCTTGCAGAAGTAGAAGGCATACGGATCATACTTCAAGAACCTTCAGTGACAGTCTCAGCAAAACAGCGTAGGGGTTCCACTCGGACGCCTACCTCACGAGCGAGTACAGCTCTCCCACGCGATTCTGCAAAGGCGTCCCGCTGAGCCCCCACCTGTACTCAGCCCTCAATGCATACCTATGAGTCGATCACCGAGAGCACCTAGAGGAGCCTCTTACGCTCCAAGGGCAGTCGTTGTTGTCCGTCCCTTAATTCGATGGGCCTCATCCAGGATGACCCTACCCCAACGTACACTGTGAAGGGCGGACTTCGACAGATCCAAGTCACTCCTCTCGCAATCTAACGCACAACGATATTGACTCAAGACTAATCCCCCCGGGCGGCTTACCCGAGGTATCGTCATCATCCTCCTCTTCATTTCGCACCTTCTTCGCTGCAGCTCTTGTCACCCGACCAGCACACGTCGACCCCCGACGCTTCGCCTCTCGACTTTTGCTCTTCACAACTTCAATTTCACTATCGCTCGACTCGCCCGAATCATCCCCAGTAGCCTCGCTCTCGCTACTAGAGCCACTTGCAGTAGCATCGCTGGGTTCATAATCGTCATCTTCGGAGTTCTTAGGGCGCTTGGAGGACTGAGGCGGTCCTCTGCCCGCCTGTGGCTTCACAGTTTGTCGTAGTCGAGCGACAACAGCTCGCTTCTTCGACGTGCTCATCCTACGCTTCTTGCTAGGAGGGGATGATGAGCTATCTGATGACGATGATGATGCCGACGACTCGGACACCGACAGAGTGGCGTCTTCCTTATTTCCTGTCGAGTCTGGACTACTGCCTAGGCTCACCGGTGAGGATCGGCTGCCTTTCACAGTCCGAGGGGCCACCGTGCTCGCGCTCGAGGGGCTGCCTTTCACCTTACACCGACGGGAAGGTGCTCTACGTCGCTGCCCAGCCTTTTCTATCGACACCGGCTCTTCCACCTTCACCT